AGCATTGACAGCTTGGTTTCGAACGTGTCGGAGGTTGTTCACCTACGTCTTCAAGCTCTGCAGTTCTGGGAAGCTGAAGCTCACCGTCTGTTGCCGGCGTCGCTCCGGCTGATCAACGCCCAGCCTGATCCCTACCTACGTCGACTGCTCAAAGGGTGTGGTGATGATCAGACACCAGTGTTGGGACAAGTCTGCCATGTAGCTCTATACGAAGCCATGCTCCAAGCCTGCAATTCGTGCGATCGCACCCTTCAACATCGTGGGGCCCATTGCTTGTTCAACTCGGTGGCCACCTTACGATAAGCCACAGAAGGTGGTCCCAGTGGACGTTGCTTTGGGTCGGGCCTGGGAGTTGCGCAAGAAAATTGTGTCTCGTGTTCACGGGGTCCCAGTCACTGACAATCTCAAGAAGATCTGGGAGGCCACTCTGGAAGACTGCCAAGAAGGGTCATGTGTAGGACCCTGGGCTTCCGAAGAGGAGATCTCCTCCTTCCTGCAGTGTGATGACTGGATCCCTACACAAAGGTTTGAGGTGGTGCAGAAGAACAAGGTCAGAGGTTGTGACAGTGCCACGACAAATTTGATCAATCAAATCACTGAGATCTCAGAGAAACTGCAGCTCCCCTCCACTGACACCAACGTGGCGGCCTTGAGGAGGCTCCGCTCGGAGTTGCCAGAGGATGAGCTTGGCGGTTGGGTCTTGGACGAGAGGAAGGCGTATCGTCAAGTCGCCATTCGCCCTGATCAGAGAAAGTTTTCAGTGATTTGTTTGAAGAACCCTGAAACTGATCAGCCTGCGTTTTTCGTCATGATCGGTCACTCGTTCGGGTTAGTGTCGGCGGTCTATAACTACAATCGACGGTCGGCTGCTATCAACGAATTTCTGGTTAAACTGTTTAAGCTCGTAGCCTTTAGTTTTTACGACGACAAGTATGGGTTTGAACCGCTCGGCTCAGTGAAGAGTGCTCGCTTGGCAGCCGAATGTGTTCACACCTGGCTCGGAGCTCATTTTGACCAGAAGAAATTGCAGCTGTCCTCGTCCCCGACGATCCTGGGGGTGACCTACAACCTGAGTGAAATGCAGCTCGAAATTAAGCCCGATCGGCGGAGTGATTTGACCGCAGAGATCCAGGGCATTTTAAGCTCAGACGTGTTAGACCCGGGGACGGCTGGGAAGCTCAAAGGAAAGCTTATGTTCGGGGCCTCCCAGCTCTGGGGCAAAGTAGGTAGGGCCTTTTTAAGAGTGATCTCGGAACGTCAGTATATGCGTCTGCCGCTCGGTCCGAAATTCGGTCTTGATCCACCTTTAAGGGAGGCTCTCAAACAGTGGCTTGTTTTGATCGAAGCCGGCCCCCCAGGACGATCGATCGACAAATTTCGAAGCGTGCAGACGTCGTAATTTTTACTGATGGTTTCACCCCTGATCCTCGTGAGGTTCTCGCCACTCGCCTCCCTGACCGAGTCGGGGCGGTGCTGTTCGATCGCAGACTGACCAAACCCCGCCAGTTCTCCGAAGTGATTCCCTGGAGTATTTCAAGAAAGTGGCTCCACAGATCAACCCAAATCATCCCGATCGAGATGATGGCACCAGTGCTCGCACTGGAAACGTTTGCCGATCGCCTCGTAAACGCGGATGTTATTTTGTTGATCGACTCTGAAGCTGTTGAAGCAGCCCTGATCAAGGGCTATTCGAGCAGATCAGACGTCTGTGAGATCATATCTATATTTTGGGAACGTGCACTGCGGCTCCGCTGTAGGATTTTTATCGATCGAGTCTCGACGGACGCAAACCCCGCAGACTGGCCGTCGCGGAATGATCTGAACAGAGGCCAGGAGGCGGGGTGGTGTACGGTTCCTGCAGAGTGGCCGAAGTGTTTCATGTTCTCGTAGGGCCTGGGGAGAGGATCCTTGATCTGTTGACTGGGTAGTTCCTCCTGCAGAT